CATGTGAAACGCCTCCTGCCACGGCCACCGCCACCACCAATGTCCCTTCTTCTGCTGCCTCTGAGCTTGGGAAGAAACAGAAAGCCTGAGCTTACTCCAGGCCTACATTGTGTAGCCTGAGAGAGCGAATCCGAAGTCTTCAGCCAGCATCTGAGTGGGAGAGAAGTTCCTACTTTCAGAGCATCGGGAGTGAGCATGGCTGCAATCATGAGGAAATACAGAGGAGCCACGTGGCTCAGTAAGAGCCTACCTACCACTCATTATGAGTAACCACCATCTGCTCAAACTTCAACACCAAAAATATATTCCCCCCTGTGAAATTAAGGACAAGAACTCAGCTACAAATAAAGACACTGCATAAAGCCCCCATCCCTCTGAAAACATAAAGAAAAGAAGTCAACTAACTGTACTCAAATCAAACTATAGTTAAAGGAACATCTGCCCACACAAATAAGAAAGAACCAGTGCAATAACTCTGGTGAATCAAAAAGCTAGAGTGTCTTCTTTCCTTTAAATGACTGCATGAAATCCCAAGCAAAAGTTCTTAATCAGGCTGAAATGGCTAAAGTGACAGAAATATAATTCAGAATATGGATAGGAACAAAGACAACTGAGATTCAGGAGAAAGTCAAAACCCAATCCAAGAAATCTAAAGATTACAATGGAACATTACAGGAACTGATAGAAAAAAAATGATCATATTAAGAAAGAACCAAATGGGTATGATACAGCTGAAAAGCACACTGTAAGAATTTCATAGTGCAATCAGAAGTATTATCAACAGAATACATCAAGCTGAGGAAAGAATCTCAGATCTTCAAGACTGTTTCTCTGAACTAACTCATGCAACAATAATAAAAAGAATAACAAAAAGATGAAGAAAACCTCTGAGAAATATTGAATTATGTAAAGAAACAAAATCTAAGACTCATTGGTGCCCTCGAGAGAGAGGGAGAGAAAGCAAGCTACTTAAAAAACAAATTTCAAGGTATTATCCATGAAAATTCCCCCAAGCTTGGTAGAGTGGCCAATATTCAAATTCAGGAAATGCAGAGAATCCCTATGAGATACTACACAAGGTCAACCCCAAGACACATAGACATCAGATTCTCCAAGATTGAAATGAAAGAAATAATGTTCAAGACAGCTAGAGGGGAAAAGCAGGTCACCTACAAAGGGAACTCCACCATGCTAACAGCAGACATTTCAGCAGAAACCATATAAGCCAGAAGTGATTGGAGGTGAATATTCAGCATTCTTAAAGAATAGAATTTCCAATCAAGTATTTCATATCCAGTAAAACTAAGCTTCACATGCAAAGGAGAAATAAGATCCTTTTCAGACAAGCAAATATCATGGGACTACTTTACCAGATCTGCTTTACAAGAAGTCCCAAAACGAATACTAAATACTAAATATGGTAGGGACAGACCAGACACTGCATAAACACACTTAAGTAAACAGACCATTGATGCTATAAAGCAACCACACAATCAAATCTGCATAATAACCAGCTAAGAACATGACAGGATCAAATCTACACATATGAATATTAACTTAAAGTGTAAATGGAATGAGTTCCCCAATTAAAACTCACAGAGTGGAAAGATGGATAAAGAAGCAAGACTCAATGGTGTGCTGTCCTCCAGAGTCCCATCTCACATGGAACAA